ATGAACGAATTCCAGACTGTGAAGGTAAAACCACATGCAAGTTTGTTGCTTCCTGCACATCAATGCTAAGTCATGAATTTTGCAGAGCAACCATCCTCATTATTATGCCCCATATATTTTTGAATCATCCGTCGAACTAAATCATGCTTGGTATGCGATAGCTTCAAAACGCAGATACCTTTACCTACCTCCATAAGGGGTACTCATTTCGTCAGGATACTCCTGTTGAACTGAAATTGATTGATGCCTGGGAAGAAAGTTCCTCCCGACCCTCCCCTTGCCTCCGCCAGCGCCCATCCCTTTCGTGGAAGGACGAGGAAGAATCGAGAGGAACTTCATCGCATCCCCGAATGATGCCAGGTTTTTATGGGTAGTTATAGCTCTTTACGAATAAGGACGAAAGGTGCAAACATTTTTCATGCAAATCTACCCGGATCTGATTCGTTTGAAGGTTAGTTATCATTGGTAGCGTTGACGACAAAGGCAGCCATTAGAGGTTTATATACAGGTTCTCATGAACGGGTTTGCAGCATCAAGTTGAGCAACTACAAAGGAATAGTTAGGAATAAAGTCAGACTCATCTCTCTACTTATATCTCTTCGTGAGTNGTCAGACTCATCTCTCTACTTATATCTCTTCGTGAGTTAATTTCAATCTGCTACGAGGGAAAGTTTATTATTCATTTGCTAGACAAATGTTCATTTTATATTCTGCTCATTATCTAGCCTAAGCATTGTGAGGCCCCTTCGTGCCTCCCCGAGCAAAAGCATTTTCTTTTTACTGGCCACCGCGGTTATAAAGCAGAGGAGCACCAAAAGGTAGAAGCGTTGTCACGAAGAATGGGAAGTAGGTTTGATAGCATGTTGCAAGTTTTAAAAGAAAATACATGGTATTGATAGATTGCATTCCATAATGCCTTCGTGGTTCTGGTGGTGAAGCTGCGGAGTTCCTTGAGAGTTTCTCAGACATATCAACCAAGGCCTAGTTTCCGCGACTTATGGTATTAGATCAAAGAAATTGCCATCGACGAATATTTTTCCTGCTCGGATTTTCTCATGAGAAGCTGTTTCATGGGTTTAGTGGCATGCTCTACTCAGCATCCAAACAATATATGGGAAAATACTTTTTATAATTCGTTCATCATTCCATGCGAATGTCAATAATTCCTGGTGCTTAGGAACGAGAAAGGGATTATGTATTCAATAAAAAAAGTAAATCCTCAGTGATAGATTCCAAAAGTTTGGAATTGGTGAGAATGACCCCTCACTGCAGCTACATGGATCAGAATCCTCAGGGGACTCCCAATTGATTACAAACGTGGCCAAGAGCCGTAAGAAAAGACCTGAAGAAAAGTGAATACTCCCGATATAGGAGAACTTGAATTGGATTTTTTCAACGATTTATGAGCATTTGCAGGGGAAAAATCCAATAGATATTGTAAGTGATATAGGGAAAATTGTGCTACAAAACGATTACTAGGTTGCATTAACACAAGGGTGAAAATAATTGAAAGTTGGAGCTGTAAAGAATAGCTGAAGGAAAGTAGAATGAGTCGCGAAATGAAATATTGGAAGAAGTCTCTGTACGGAAACGGAAAGAAGAAAAGGCGAGGAAATCGTTCTTGCAACGTCATTATCTTGCTATATGAAAGCAGCAGCGCATAAATTTTCGAGAGAACAATAATCGTCATATGGTCTCTGACGTTAGGAACATATGTTTAGGTATTGGGCTCTCTTCCCATTTTTAAGCAGCAGATGGACAGTCGTAGCTTTGTGAATCGATGAGTGCTTGGGACCACGTGTTTGTGCATGAATGTTCGCGCTCTCATTGCATGGAATGAAGAAAATATATACGAGGATCAAGAGGCAATGGAAACAGCGGTGATGCGGGCGTTATTTAGAGGCAAAATCATTATTGCAGCTTCGTCTCACCTTTGCAGCTTCGTCTTCGTGCCACCAATTTGGTGGCACAGTTACGAAATGTCGTTGAAATTCGTATAGCAAAGGAAGGTTTCATAAGATCATCGAGACTAAATCCACAAATAACAAAACAATGAATGTGATGTGATAGCTTCATTCGAAACGTGCTATTCTGTAGACAAAATAATCGAATTTCTCTTCGAAGTAGTCTCATTCTCAAGAAGACCCCCTATCCGCACCAGAACTGCAACTTCAACGCCAACAGCTGATGAGCTTATAATAACCTATAGGTACTTTATGTAAGCTGTGATCCATGTTTCCAGAATAACATTTTTTTTCCAGTTCGCTCAACATCTGCCATATTCGGGGACAACCCTTGCGAACATCCATCCATCACAACCGATGGTGGCGTCGGCATCGAGTGAAAAGCCCTGTCCGAATACGAAGTGTCTCATTCATCATCAATAAATCGCAGTCTGCTTAGATGCGTTCATTTTTTTTCTCTCTTTATCTCCCTATGGTGCTTTATTTAATGCCACTCGTCCTGCATTGTACCAAATTCTGTACCTTGCCCCTTTCCTTTAGATGACAGGCAATTAGCTGAATAAGATTCTTCAGACTTCTTATTGCAGGACGATGTTTTTATTGACTCGTGACTGTTTAAATGTTGAAACCTCTGCCACCTTGGGTCAAATTTTAAAGGGCTACTAACTTTAGCAGTGACTAGCGTTTAGTAGATAATAGCTAGTAGTTATTAAAAAATTGTATTTTCAAAGACATCTGACTTGTTAGTAGCTACTAACTTAGTAGCAGTTGGGTTTGGAATATTCAGAGTCCGCCAAAAAATGTATACAGACTTCAGGAAAAGAAAAACTTGTATAACTATTTTAATACTAAATTTATTCAGACATCATGAGATTATTACAGGTTACCTTTGGCCTTCACAATTACAAGAGGTGCTCAAAGTGGTGGCCATTAGATTCCAGACTTCCTAAAGGATGTCGTATATCGCAGAAAACCAACTACACTGGCGGCCCTTAGAGAAGAAATTGAAAATGCATGTGCAGCAATCCCACTGGACACTTTGGCCAAGGTTGCCCAAGCAGCAGTTCGCCATACAAATAAATGTCTGGAAGCTAATGACCAGTTATTACAAGTTAATACAAGTTATTCTTTTCCTGAAGTGTGTATACGCTTTTTTCGCGGACTCTGTATTTGGCAACGCTGCGAGAGAAAATTTTCAAGCGTGAGCCTCCACGACAGAGAATGGTATCGTTTTAGGAGTCGATTTTTTTCACATATCCAATGTATGCTAATTGGTAGAATAATAAGTTTGACATATTTTAAGGTTTGGATAGAGACGTCAAGAAAGCATATTTTTCTTTCATGACACCTTGTGCCACGGTCGACCATTCATCTCCTTCCAGTTAAGGAATAACGGGATGATTATTAGTGTCGCTAAACGTCCAAGATCGGAAAACTGGTGCATCGTAGGGAAGGAGCTTCGGTCTCTGTGGATTGAGGCCTCAACTGTCATGGAAGAGAAGGAAATAGAAATTCACGCCAATGCAAGGAAAATGATGGCATGGTAAGAAATTTGTGCATTTGTGCAAATTTGTGTCATCATTTTGGCCAGATGAAAGACATGAATCGCCTCAATGGCGACGAATGAAAGGTGATGTAAAGGAAAAGGTTTCGAAGTACAGGAAAGAATGCAAGAAAACTGGAGGGGGTCTCCACCTGAACCCATCTCAAAGGAAACTCAGCAACTGGTGGATACCCTGCCACATAGATTTGACAATCCGGTGAACCTGTTTGATGATGACATCACTTTACCAGCAGAAAAATTAAATGAAGAAATAGGTGGAGCCCATGATGAAGACACACATGCCTCGTTGGCAGAGTTCTTGGATGACCCAATACAACCACCTACCATCGAAAGCGAGGAGACTCTGCTCAAGATTTCCCTTCCAAAAAGGCAAGGCAAATATTTTCTCTAAAAATGATCTCCATTTAGAGCTTCTAATGAGGCTGCTTTGTATGATTGCATTTAGATGAGCATAAAACGCTGTGGGATAAAATGGGAAGAGACCATACTTGTGATAGGGCTGGAAGTTAGGAGAAACTCGAACTATTTCGAGCATCATTTCATAGAAAATGCCAAAGTTAAAAACATGTGGAAGCCTGATCTCATGGCTGTATATATATTAGGCCTGCTTTTATTACGCTGGGAGTTTTCTCTAGCGTGTGACCAGAAAAGAGAGATAAGTTGAGTGTTTAATCTTACCCCTCTTGCGCACATGAATGGCACAGACAGAAATCAATCTGATTTTCCTGCAGGAAGAATGCTCCTAAAGCATACTTGTAAATGTATTTCTACAAGAGAGAACACAAGCGTCCCATGGAAATGATGGAGGAAGAAGATGAAAATTTTAAATCTTGAGAAAAAGTCCTGGGAACAAAGGATTATGGGGTTGCCGACAGAGAATATTGGAAAACCTGCAAGCGAATTCAACCAGCCAATGAATCGTACATTTTTGGGAACACATCCGAAAATTCCTTTTCATTGATTAGTTCAACAATATGAGCGGCTTCAAGGCACTGCTGTGAGCTGGAAAGAAAGCAATGACAAAATTTTGTCGTAGTAACTGATTTTCATTGCGTTGGTTTTGTCAGCACAATAAGCCATGGAAGCCTGACCTTTGGACACCTTTTCATTGAGAAAAAAACTGCTGAAGGAATGTCATCACCCAATTCAGGTTCTCGTCGAGAAAGGGACAAATTGTCAAGAAATAGCTGCTGACACAATGATAGCGTAAGCTGTGTCAAGCTTGACTCGCAGCGGAATGAACAGGCACCTGGAAAAAAAAAGAGAAAAATTAAGGTCAAACTATTTCATTGCATAACATCTCTACAGGTGTTACCAGTTCTGGAATATGCGGCAAACCCCACCTGATCCGTCCTTTCATGATCCCAAATGTTCGTTCGATAGTTCTTCGAGCAAAGCTGCGGCGGCGATTGTATCTCCTCTCGGCATCATTCTTAGGCTGTCGGAATAGCGTCAAAAGGAAAGGTTTGCACGAATGGCCACCATCACCTAGCAAATACCCGTTTCCTCTGCGAGTACTCAGGATATCATATACTGTATGTCACTTTCTCGAAGGATCCAACTGTCGTGTGTCCCGCCAGGCCATTGCGCGACAATATTTGTGTTGAAATGACTGCATCACAGATAACTTGGGAGTTGATGGAGGTGAATCCCCTCCCATTCAGGAATCTCTATGCATTTTCGCCACTTACAACGATTATGAAATGGTATTGAAAGTAAAAGTTGTTAAACCCACTTGAAAATTGAATTCATCATTTTCTTCATTAAGGCATATATTTTTTTTAGTAATAAAAACAGTTTATGAGTACAGCGTTTTTAAATAGCATGTTCACCTGGTGATTTGATGGAAATGTGTGCCTTCTACCACACCGTAAACGCCTGGAAAACGGCGATGTCCTCCATTTTCTTTGAGCAAAGTCCTCCATTTTCCTTTCGAATTCTTGTTCTGTCCTTGGTAATTGTATGGACTGCGGGCGCAAACGCGCTACAGTTATAGCTACTGACTGCACAACCACAGATACAGCGCTATGTGACAGTCCAGTCAAGTCACCATCGCTTTTCTGGAAATGACCTATTGCCATGAATCGCAAATATGTACACACCTGCTGCGGAACGGTGATTGCTTGACTTCTCAAAGTCTGACGACTTAGGACCACTTGTAGCAGTCTCACCAATTCCATTACCGGGTCTTTGGAAAGTCTGAACCTGACTATGAACTGGTCCTCGTCGTAGAATTCAATGGGATTCCCATTGTTCAAATATATTCTTGGCCTGTACTGATTTGATGGCTCACGTTCTTCTGCATCGATTGCCCGTAAAACGTCCATAACTGACAAACTGAGAATTAGTAGCCTTTTCAACAACCCCCCCAAGAATTACTAAAATTGTATTGCGGTTAGTAGGTATTTAGTATCTACTAACGCATAGTATCTCTTTGAAAATACCATCTTAGGCACGACAAGAGATACAACAGTAGAGACTTAGTAGCTACTAACTTGTTTGTAGCCCTTTGAAAATGTGACCCATTGTTTGCATGCATGTTCATTTCTTCGCTTGCTATTCATATCCAGTACTTGTGAACCGGTTCATTGTGTGCCATTTTGAGGACCTACTATTTATTGTCAAGTGAAGAATTCCACATGCAATCACATCGAATTTCTATGAGTATTTTCGCCTATATCCCATTCCTGCTGGCTAGGAAGACTCAAGACTTTGTCGAGCCTAGACCGAATGATCATCAAAACAAGAGTTTCTTCATTCACAAATATATGCGTCGTCGGCTTTAGTGTGGCAGATGGAAATGGAAAAGGTATTTCAATTCATGTAAACTGACCCAGGATGACAGTTAGTGACGGAAAGGGGGAGGAGGGAACCGACATTCATGGGAGGACAGGGTTGTCATAGATTCATATCTCCCAGTAAGTGTGTGTGTTTCTTACTAACGAGAAATGAACCATACCTCGCTTAAGGTGATGGACTAAAAGTTTAGGAGGCAAGAGAAAGATACGACGTAGACATCATTATCAAGCTACATTTACATTAATAACATGCCCCAAGAATATTTTTGAAGTAAATCACGTGGAAGGGCTACATGAATAACAAATGGAGCGATCAGGAATGATTCAGTCTAGAGTATACTGTATTTTGTTAAATGTTATAGTGGCTGAAGGACACCATGTATATCTGAGAAAATCATTTCATTCCCTAATTATGTTTTGGGTGTGTCTATCAATGGAATGACTTTCGTAGTTTTGTATTCTCATTGAAATCCCACTACACGAATTTTTTACTCAGCGAAAGGGTTAAAACGATTGAGAACGGATTAATAGATGTTCATATCCAATATTTAATTGCATACGATACGGAATCTGTCAGGGATTTTATTTTTCAGATCATGTTTCATGTGCGCGGAAATTGTACAAGGGGACAAATGACGAATTCATTTGTGTGTAAAGCGGCATATGCGATGCAAATATATTAGAAGAGAGCAAGAAATAGCACTTTCACTTGATATCTACAGTCGGAAAACTCTTACGAGAATGAGTCTCATGACCTATTCTAATTGTATCTCGGCTCGGGGGAGTTGTGCCTCTTAATATTCATCCCATTTCGTAGGATCAATTACTCGGTCGAAACTTCATGGGACAGAAGGGGATGTCACAGGCATCGACGTTCCCGTTGTCATAGGACCCGAGCTCGAACTCTAAGGCATGAATGCAAAAGGGACCTTGTGAAAAACCTGGGACAAAACCTTTCACGAATCGGCAGAAGTTGTGACCCTCTGCAACTGCGTTATCAAGAAAAGGATTTCCAGTCTCGTTGAAGCTCAGTTGAGTGCGATTGGCGGCCGCCCAGGGGAGGCAAGGCAAGCCGCCTGACGTGTGGTTCCTCTGTCCGACGTATTCCCAGCCTAATTCGGTCACTTTGCACTCCGGAGGGGCTGTTAGGGAGAAGTACGATGCAAAGAGAGTGATTCATCGTCGTTTTCCCCTTAATTTTTCGAATATTTTAGCAGAAATCCATTCCTGATACCATAATGGCATATAGTCTGCATTTCCCCGAAAATTTAACCCTCTGCACTGTTTTTCTCGCTATGGATACTGTCAAGCCAAATTCGACAACCGAGTGCAATGTGTTAAAAGATTGGTGCGTAGTAATTCAGGTGATTACATTTATTATAGACTTCACGTAAATATGAAAATCTTAAAGGATTTGCTTTAAAATTAAAATGGATTAATTAAATTTAAATGTAATAATGAACAAATATGGTCGTTTTTTCTGGAAAAACTCTGAAAAAGCCATGTTTACGCCATATACGATATTTGTGTTCATATTCTATGAGTCAAGAAGTTGAAATTGCGTGTACCATGTGAAACCCCCCCCCCTTTTTTTAAATAACAAATTAACGAATTGATCCGGTACCATACAGAGACGGTATTTGAAAAACAAATCCGAGTTTTATGCAGAAACACTTTGAATTTTATGCAATGTTCCAAGCCATTAACTAGAGCTCCTCCAGCTCATTCTCACAACGTATGACTTTCTGGGATACAACCAATGCTACTTACCTTTCCTATTGCAAGCACCATATGTTTTGGAATTTTATCGATATTAAAGATGATAATAGTGATAAACAATATTTTCCAGATCAAGAGTATAGTGTAGGCAATGAGAAGTTTCAGAAATCATGCTTTCCCATATTTTTGCAAACAAAGTTTCCGGTCAAAAAAAGGCTGCATTTATGGAACGGGAAATTCACTTTAAATTTCGCAAAAACTACTTAAATCCCTTACTGGTGTCGTCGCAGAATGGGATGTCACAATATTCCCATGTCATCGTCGTGTAATCAACGTAGCACCAAGGTTTCCTTTTCAGATCGAGATTTCGGCAGTAATTCCTGTGGAATGGAGGGTTTGAGTCTGGGAAAATCATCAAGTACGACACGACTACTTCGGTGAGTTCTTCATTATCCCTTGGAAGAAGTCCTGCACCGCCTTTTTGGCTGATGAATGCTGGATGTTCATCCCAGAAGAGACAATCTTTCCCCGTTGCCGTCTTCGTCATCGTCCCGATGTATTCCATGCCGTTCTCTGTCAATAGGCACTGAGGATACGCATTCTCTCCAGCGGCTCCAGCTGCAATGGGAAGTCGATTTTCATTCATTCAGCATTTCATCCAGTAGAAACCCTGATAATTCGATGGTAATATCTATTTTACGCATTCAGGGTCGTCCATGCCTAAAAGCACGTCTTTCGTAGGCTGAAAGACACCGATGGAGCTTGTAGTAAGGTCATCAGGAGTAAATGTAACTAACATTCATGACGGCCTAATAAAGTGGGTGATCTTGAGAGTGAGGAGATGAAGATATAAATAACAGTGTTGACTCACTCTTGCTGATAGATTCCAGAAGCTATAACGTTTTCGTTATATTTCGTAACAGAGAGGAACCTCACAGGGCATTAACTGAGCTGCGCCCTCATGCATTACATAGCAGAGTGGGCCAAGAGGATCTGACATCGGATTGCGACAAAAGTTGTGCCTGCTGTCCACGGGATCCGGAAACATGGATAGGGTCACATCACCTCTGTTGGAGTACATCATATTTGAATTCAACCATGGTAGGCAGGGGTCCCCCGACCGGGACACGTTCTTCTTCCCTATGTATTCTCCTCCCAAGGACGTCAGCAAGCATTCAAAGGGAGCTGTTGAGATGATATCAAATAGGTTATTCAACTATGTAGTTGTTGTTATTATCAGCTTGGCGTTCAATAATGATAGTGGGTTTACGATTAAAATTCATATTAAACTTTCGCAACTGAAATGCAATTTCTTATCCTAGAAACATAACCTGGTCATGATTAAAAGTGTGATAGAGTTTTCCATCTTAAAAACCCACCCAGGTTTTTACAGAAGTGTACATCGCAGTATTCCCATTCGATGACAGGATATTTTGAGACGAAACACCATGGCCGGTCCCCCCATCCCGGATTCCGACAGAAATTCACGTGTGCATCCGGATTCCGATTGATGAATAAATCCTTAAACGGGTTCCATCTCAGGGTATCACTTGACAACGGGAGGGCCTTCATCATGAAGATTGGGTATTCAGTGAGATCTTCGAAATCTGTCCATCTCATGCATTTTTTCCCTGTTTCGCTCGTTCTGATGGTTCCCATGTATTCCTTGCCCATTTTCGTGATCCGACAATCAGGGTAAGTGGCTTTTGTCTCGTGATTCTCATCTATGAACGAGATAGAAATGGATGTTGGCTTTCGTTCAAAACTATGGCTGCATGGTATTAAACACAAATTCCGTATGACAGTAAAAGGATTCATGAGATGATAATAGAAACTACTTTTCTCTCTTGTGGGAAGAGAATGTTACCCGAGAACGCGGTTATCCGCGTTTTTGTCGACACCAAAATGGTCGCGAAAAAAACGTCGCATGCACTTTCGCCATTTGCCTGATTTCGTAGCAGGGAGGAAGGATTTTTCCACGGCTTAACTGCTTAACTGAATGTGTCAAGAGTGGTATGAAGGAATTGGGCCCCTGTGTTCCTCATGTGTATTATGTGCTATGTATTATATATGTGCTAGGGAAGGGATGGGGAGGCAATGGGTCGCAATCATTATTGACGCTATTATGGGCCGTTTTTGGAGACATAAGCGTGCACCGGGAGTCGTGTAAATGCCACTGGAATATCTTGGTACATATATAAGCAAATAAAAATATTTTTAATGAATGATGTTTTCACTCTGTAAAGAAGCGAAGTTTCGATAAGATAGCATGACAGTGTGATTTGTGTAAAAATGTGAAAATTTACAGTTAGGAACCATTTAAACAAAGACACAGTGGCCCAGGCACCCACTGTCCACAATCATGCACATGTTTTGTTCCCGTGCAAGTGGCAAAGGCAGTTCGGGAACTGAAAGCCACCACACATTTCTCAGTTACCTGTGCCTAGACTTAGGCAAGCTGCATCTGCTCATAGCTCTGGTAATGCCCACGTGATGAGGAGAGTGCGACGAAATAATGCAACAATGAAAAGGGCCTGCGACGTTTTCTCAGCGATGAACTGTCCCCGACCATTTTTACCGTGACCGGAGCACCTAATACGAAGAATCCAGAGAAGACCTATCTCTCATGTTTCCATATAATAGGTGAAAAAGCTCTATCGAAAAGCACTATTCGTATTTCATTTCGCATTTGGCAAATTCGGCAAAAATCCTCAATGTCACTGTGAGACGCATGCAATGCTAAAAAAATCAAAATAAAATCTTTTCCAGAACGCCTTGACTGACTGGTTTCTCTCTCCTGAGGACAAAAAGGGACGTCGCAGTAGTTCCATCCAATTTCTTGGTTCTCTCGATGAACTCCATCATAGCACCAGGGACCCCCAGGACGACCCCCAGGATTCCTGCAATAATCGTGCTTTTTGTCCACCTTGTCCGAGAATGCAGGGAGTCTCCTGAACCACGTCCGATATTGGATTGTCAGAGGAACGGCCAGCCAGGGCAAACATAGATGACCACTCAGATTCTCATTCCTTTTCCCCACGTATTCTGCTCCCTTTTGCGTCAATTTGCACTCCACTGGAACTTGAAACAGCACACCCAAATTATTTACATCGTGAACTTCGCCCGAGAAGTCTGTCCTCTATTGCGAAAACTTAAAAACTATTGATATTCTCAGTTACATATATAACATTGTCACTTCCAAGAAATAATCCAATATACTGACGAAGGTCATCTGTAACACCTTTTTGCATAGCATTGTGAATAAGATCTGGATTCTGAATCTACACTGTAAAATGATAAAAGGTTCTTGAGTGAATCCTTTAATGAGTCATTTCCGTGGAAAAGATAAAACTGATTCCCGGATTCTACGATCTCAGGGCGTTGCGTGGAGAGAATGTGTATACTACGACCTTGGTCATTCGCACGATCACTCCGACCAGAAAACAATGACACCAATTTAGTGAGAAATGGTTTTACTCTCTAAAAATGAAAGTTCGAATAGGAACAATTATAGTTCAAACTTTTCTCGAGTAACTTTCGTGGAACCAAGCCTTTAAGAGTTGAAACTGGTTAACTCCTGGAATTTCCAAGATGTGAGGGCTTTCGACACGCAGTCAATCAATGTTCTCTTCTGAGACATTTATTTTATCATTCCCACGAGTAACTATTGAGTAAATATCATGAAAAAATGGTTATAGAAATCACAAGCCCCATCCTTAATACTTCAAGAAGGGGAGACTCCAGGAAAATGTCTTGTTTCTGTCGACGCATTAGGGATTCTTAGAGGGGGTTGGGGCTCCTAATACACGTACACATGACAAGGTCGCCAGTTGAACAATCTCATCCCATCGTGCATAGTGCTGGATCCCACGAAATAGTCTGGGTCCCAGGTGATATTCTTAAAGTCTGCGTAAAGTTTCCGCAAAAATATTTTACTTCATTGAATCCTATAGAATAGGACCCCTGTGAATTCAAGGCAGCTGTCAAGCGTAAGCTGCACCTTTCTAAATTGGGACAGAATTTGGACAACGAATATCAGGACGAAGCCTGCAGAAAAGTCCAACAGTGAAGCTGCTCGAAACCGAAGTGGCTGTCGTTGGGCGTATAACCTATGATGTGTAGTTTGGCCAGGCAAAAACTTCATTACAGTGGCTCACAAAAGTAATGATTTTCACAAAAAGTCTATTTTTTTCGCGCACAAAAAAGATCGACCGTTACTTGCCAGTATATTTAGATAGAGCTGAATGTTCTCTACAGTTGAAAATACATTTGTCTGGCATTAGGGTTTCTTCTAAGGACAAACCTCAAAAAGGTCCGGTTCGGTGTTGCATTACTTTTGGCGTAATTAGCGACGATTTGTTCATTCAGAGATTCTGTATACATTCCGAAGGCACTAGCATGTATTAGCGTAATCTCCTATACTTGTACAACACCTCCGCCGCTCTATCTTCGTGGAAGGAATTTTTAACTGGGGCTGAGTTTCTTCATTTCAGGTATGCGTATCATCAGGATGGAAGTCGTGGCACGACTCTTCTCTGCATGCAATTTGACTGCGATCATTATCACTGTTGTTACTTTGCCGTGCGTCATTTCACTGGATAGACATCTTCACTGTCTTCCCTTTCCCTGTAGCACCCTTTTCACCGTAGGGCTTTTTCATGCAGGAGCGACTTATTCCGTTTTCTTTTGCTTATCACATCTCACTGCTTCATTCATTCGTTCATTCCCAAGGGCAAGTCTGGGACTTGTATGAACGACAATGGTCAAGCTTCGAGTATTGTTTTTCTCTGCAGTTTCTTCATTGTATCCTTTGTTCCGTCCAAACCTTAATCCTGCAACAGTGCTGAGCGACTTTGAAGAGACCTCAATCAATGCCACTAAAAAGGTCTTTCCAGGAGTCACACAATCAGGTTGCCTTTTTCATCTTTGCCAATCTCTGTATCGCAAAATGCAAGGCGAAGGCCTTCAGGCTGCCTACAGGACTGATCCACAACTTTCAATTCACCTCCGAATGCTACCCGCACTGGCTTTTGTTCCCTCTGACGAAGTGGTTGATGCTTTCCAGGATCTCGCCGAAGTCCTTCCAGAGGTAACTGAACCGATAGTAAATTACTTCGAGGACACCTACGTTGGACGCCCTCGTAAAAGAGGTCGAGCGAAACCTATGTTCGACATCGGCTTTTGGAACGTCCTTGACCGCATTGTGCAAGGTCTTCCTCGCACAAATAATGCCATTTAAGCCTAGCACAATGTATTCCAAGGTGGTCTGGGATGTTCACACCCAACGCTTTGGAAGTTTCTGAAGTATTCGATTAAAGCGCAGGGACGCCAGGAGGTCCGAGTAGTGCAGGCACTCTCTGGCCATCCTCAGCCTCGGAAAAAGAAATACAAGGCAGTTGATGATCGCCTCCAGACCTTGGTCGAGCAGCAGCAGTCAAGGGATGTCCTTTCATATTTGCGCGGTATCGCGCTGAATCTTCAGTTTTGAACTCATTCTGACAATCCCCTATTTTCCTCTTATGTGACAATTATTAACCCGTTTCATTTAATTATCCATAATTTCTAGGAAAATTTTTGCAGCGAAAGTGAATGCAGTGAAAAGGGTATCAGTGAAATGACGTACAGTTAATTGACGCATGCGAATAAATTGTTTGCAGTGAAATGTCGGCAGCCATTTGTCTAACATAGAAGTGACTTGCAGTAAAATGACGTGGAGCCGATGGAAGTTATACAGGATTTTCAGGGGTTCCATACATAGGGCAAGAAACACAATTGAAATGAAACGACCTCTCGATCACTGACCCAAGTCCTCGCAGAGGGGAATGTCACAGAATTCCCATTGGACGTCGGGGTCCGAGACGAGGCACCAAGGCCTTTCCCTCAATGCTGAATTCCTGCAATAGTTCTCAGATGCTTCCACGTCCTCGTTGAGGAAATGCTCCTCGTAGAGCATTGTCGTTGAAAAATCCTTGGGTTTCCCGTACGGATTTTGAACCCAACGAATGCAGACCTTTCCTGTGCCAGTCATCTTCATTCTACCAATGTATTCCTTTCCCATCTCCGTCTTCCGACAATCTGGGTATGCTGGAGGAGCAAATGAAAAGACAATATACGCCCGGTAGAAATGGTTCATAATTTCTTCAATTCAGTTTATTTAACCTTTTGACTGCTGGGTTTTTATGGGCCTGTAATACCCCCTGTGCTGGGTTTTCCCCCCAAAAATGCAAATTTCAGTTCTTCTTGATATTTACTTAAATGTGGAGCCATAATGAGTGATACATAGATATATATGTATTTAAATTGTTAAATACCTGACCTTTAAAATGGTATTTAAAATTTAAATCCCTTGCTGGGCCATGCATCGGGACTGACGCCATATGGCGTCAGTAGCAGTCAAAAGGTTAAAGCCTTGAGGCTTTCCCAAGATTATGCATCTGCATTACCACGAGCCTCGCATGTAGACTTTCGAAGTCGACGATGATCTCCCTCTGTAACTACAGGGTGCTTTTATTTAGAGGAACCCGATAAAAATTACAAGTTCCTCAATAAAATGCATTATAATTTAAAATTTGACATTAACCGAGATCCACCATGCATCACTCACTTTTACTGCAGCAGGTTCTGGAACTGATCCCCTAGTTCTCTATGCACAATTGAACACGACGCTGCATCAAGTGGTTCACAAGGACACCTCTTGATGCAGGGCCCTACGCTTGGAACCTACTGTAGGTAATGTGCGATGTGCTGTACACCATTTTGCTCCTGAGTGGTCTGTTTCGTATAAATGAATTGATCTCTACTTTCGTCCAGGTGACGAATATCTCACCTTTTCATCCCTATGTCAGTATACGAATTTCGAGTTACAGTTAGAAGCAACTTCAGCCCGCCTGACTCACGCAAAGAACTTGAAGTATTTATCTTTGAAGTTTTGACTTCCTCCATCGGCTCTTTTTTATCCTATCGATATCTCGAACAGCCTTAATCCACTGTCCAGTAATTTGCTGATTTTTTCTGTCTATATTTGCATTTTGTAAGAGAGCATCTCAACTCCTTTGGCATAGAGTAATGAGACAGTCACCCATCTTCATCTGCAGCGTGCACCTCATTCATTAGCCTACAAGTGCAAAAGTCATTTCTCAACCTGCCTCACAGTTGAGACTATCTTGGTATTATTTATTTGGCACTTTTTAATTGTTGCTATGGAAAGCGAAAAACAGATTTCAATACCTGATTTGATCTCCATAACGTTATGATCTCCCTGATACTTTACGCAATCAGGGAGATCATAACGTTATGATCTCCCTGATACGCTACGCACGAATCAGTCCGTCTTCTAATTATGTCACATAACGGAAGGAACGTGATGATGCTATGACTCTATGAAATGACGCTATGAAACTCTTCTAAAAAGTATGAAGTGTACCTCAATAAAGGCGGATTAATGTTACATTAACAGTCGCGAGTTGTACCTGCGCCGCCGGGCATCGAAGCCTATGGCATCCATATATAAAGAATCGAAGAAATAATGGTGAGGGAGAACAAGCTATGCTAATCAGAAATAAGTAACAGGAGTGGAAGGGAATCGAAGGAAACTACTGACCTGGTTTTGGACAAGACACACCACCGACGAGGAAGGAGGTGCCCCACGAAGCTGGGGTGTCGGAGCAAGTAGCCCAGTGCTCCGTCTTCCCATCCGTGAAGCCCTTCTCGCAGTGGAAGAGAACCTTAGCCCCGCTAGGGGCTTGGCGTCTCCCATCCCATCCGACGTACTCTAGATTCGCATTCTCCACAACCGGGTGCTCCGTCAAGCAGAATTCTGTGCATTCGAAATCTTTCATTATTTAGTACTGTTTAAAGAGAGATCCAACAAGGATGGTCGGAAATAGTAATCCTCCGGCCTGAGATTAGGATGGCTTGGTACTTGTTCCATGGAGCGGGCGAAAGGGATGAGAAGGTCTAAAAGGCCCCACGAGTACTTGTCGTATATGTCAAGTCGTAATTTCGCTGACATTATGCTCGCAGTGACTTCGCACAACCATACGTAACTTAAAGCAACAATTAAAAATTCTCTGCCTCAAGGAATTTCACTGCATCAGTAGGTTTGAGCATTGAGTGATATTCTTATGTCATAAAGCGTCAAAGGCGCATTCATTGCGTGTTTGTGGGCAAAACGACTTACTTTGGACATTCGCTAGTAACATAATTTACCTGAAGTGTTTTCGAGTCTAGCGGAGAGAAACAAGATTTGTAGAACCGAATAAAGGAGAGCTTGGCGAGGGGAAAAAGTATCGCCCCTACTGGTCGATGAACCGCGTAATAATGCATGAAACAGGCACGGCTGTTTCCAACATCAATTATCATACTGCTTTCCCATATTTGCGTTTCTTTGTCGTTGCTTCAAGAAGGCCTGCCGGATCAGCACTTTTGTGTTTGCTTTACAAGTTTCCATTATTCAACAAGCCAACGCAGTCTCCAGGAAACGACACTTTTGGGAAAATGAGTGCAATGTAACAAGGACATTGCGCACATTTACAGCAAAATGGGTGGAGTCCCAACCTGCAGGAAGGGCAACTCATGTACATCAGACCACCCAGAGACTTCAGGCTGCAGAATGTTTCGGAACATTTCAATTTTTCCAGTAGGTGGATAGACATGAGTGGATGAAAAGATTGGCCTGCGAGATGCCCTGATATCACTCCCATGGGCTTCCTTTT